GCTCCTCGGGGCCGGTCGGCGGCGGGAGCGTTGGGTGGTGGCCTTCCCGGCGTCCCGCGCCAGCGCAGGTCGGCGGCGGAGGGCTTGCGGGCCGGAGTAAGGGAGGGAAATGGGCGCCGCGTCCTACCTGGGGAGCCCGGCTCACAGAGTCCTTTGGGAAGGGGTTCTTCTCTGCGTGGGTCCGAGCACTTCACAGCAGTTTGCCCCTTTTGCAGAAGCTCAGAAGGGTTAATTTGCAACACATATCCATGCAAATTATATCCCGAATTACGAACTCGGATAACCTGACTTGGAGTTATTTTTTTAAAAAAATATATTTTATTGATTTTAGAGAGAGGGAGATGGATATAGAGATAGAAACATCGATCGGCTGCCTCCTGCACTCCCTCCACTCAGGGTCCAGCATGCAATCCCGGGATGTGCCCTGACCTGACCGGGAATCGATCCGTGACCTTCCCGTTCATAGGTCTGTGCGCAATCACTGAGCCACACCCGTGGGGCTGAGTTCTGGTTTTTTAATTTGGTGGCTCTATTTTTAGGCATTCGTTTGCCACCTGGAAAAAGGGGGGTGGAGATGCTAATCCTCTCATTTTAATCTGAGTCAATTGTCTTCTGATCTTGCCCAGTGAAATACCAGGATTAGCAGACATGGTTGAAATTGGGAACTAATTATATTTCAGCAGAAAGGAATTGGGCACGCCTTTTGAAGTCTGTGGGCTGTGAAATTCATTTTCCGATGCTCCGGGGACTCCTGTTCCCATGAAATTTGATGTTGGGTTTCAAGTAATATGGTTTCCTTAAAAGGAGCAAGGGATGCCAGGGGATAGATCCAAGGCCTTCAAGACTGACTCTTTTTGTTTTGTTTTGTACTAGCTATAGTATAAATATTTTAGAAGTAATAAAAACATTCTGGAATGTACACAATCTGATTTTTCAGTGTTTTACTTACATTAATAAAATTTTTGTTTTTGAAGAGCAAATGCATGTAACTCTGACAGTCAAACTAGGGTGATGTTCTCATTAACAGTGGAATAGAAGAAACTATTCCAGTGAAGTTTTTATATGTTCAAGGTCACACCGTTTAAAAAGCTTGAAGCTAGGATGCAAACCTAGGCCTTCAAATTCCAACTTAACATGGGTCTACTTATGACGGGACTTAAGGAAAGCCATTCTGTTAGCAAGTTTGGTATCTTTAGCTCTAGATTATTTGGGAGAGTTCCTTACATCACCTCATGTGGCAAGTTCTCTTCATTATCTTAATTTTTTTGAATTTAAAAGTTCTAAATACAATTAATTATCTACTTATAAAGGTCTCTGTTTCAATAGATACCCATTTGTTGGGAAAGATGTGTTCGATGCTTATACAAACAAGTTGAAAAATCAGAAGACGGAAGACTGATTTATACTGGGAATTTGGCCCGAACAGTATTTGGTGGGTAATCAGAAATGATGGTATTGTCTTTTCCTTTTAATTGTTTTAAAAAAAATGCTCTTAGTATGTGCTACTCTAGCACCTCTTAATTGCAAGACAAGGAAAAATTAAACTATAATTTTTTTTTCTTGTGGTTTGTTGATAGAAGAGTTAGAGGTTGAGACCTTTGCATTTTTAGGTTTAAATAGATTTTTGAAGTCTGTTATGCCTTTGTGATCTTATGACTAGGTATTAAAGCTTCTTTCCTTTAGTCACCTCTTGGGATGTTTAACAACAAAACAGCAAAAAGTGTATATTCAGGTAACGTTTGAATATAAAGAAAAAAAGAAAATACCTCTGAAGAGGTTATTTTTTTTGGAATAAACATTTCATATATTTTAAAATTTGGCAGTTTAAATAAGCATGTAATACTTTTTTACGTTTTTTTTAGGTCATTTTAGAACTTTCAACAAACATGCTTATTGTGGCTTTTCCAGGTGGTAGAGAATTATGGAGAAGGAAAAGATGGTATGCTAAATTGCTGCAAATTTAAAACTCTTTCCTTAGATCATAATTTAGAATTTGGTATGGAACAATTTAGTAGGGAAGATCAGGAGAACTTAGGTATCTCATTATATAATCTTTAAAAAAGGTATAACCTGAACTGTATGGAGGATTGTTTTTATAACCAAGTCTGACATTAGATTTCAACACTCACATTTGATTTGTGTTTTTGATCATGCTGGTATCAATCAATCATTAAAATTTACTCTGGAAATCTGTGTGTTCTCTAGTGTTTGACATTAAAATAGAGTGCATTTAAAGTACATTTTTAGCTATTTAAAACTTTAGGAGTAAGGACAGGTTATTATCGCTATTGAGTGAAGTCCTAAAGTTATTCTAATAATCAAGTTAGAAATTTCTTCAGAAGTCAATACATGACTACGTCCTTGAGCCTGTGCTGTGTCACATTTCTGGCCTGGGATACCTGGATTGATGCACTGAGTTGTGTTAACAGTGATCCCCATCATAACCTTCCTCTGAACAGACACTGTTGCTGCAAATGCAGGAAAGTCATCAATTTATCTAATGTTCCCACTTGAATCCATTCTAGAAAGATGAGAATATTAATAGGAATTAATTTTGGTATGAGTAGGATGTAATATTTGTGTAAGAGGAAATCTATCCAGGGTATTCAAAGTTCTAGAATTGTAACTTGTAGAGGAATTTAATATTCGATTTCTTTCAGTATTATGGTAATAGAAAGTCACTACTTATCAGGGATTAATTTTTTTTAATGTAGAAACAGTGAGAAACATTTTTTCTATGTAAAATTAAGAGACTTTAAGATATAAATGCACCATTCTTGAAGGTTCTTTAACTACCAAATGGGTCCTAGTTTAAAGACATTTGCAGACATTTTGTTAATTCAGCAATAACTAATCACTTATGTCATAGTATTCTCATTTAAGGTGAGTAGACTTTAAACATGAGGAGGTGTGAAAGAAAGGCATCCCAGGCATGGAAGTAGTATGAGCAAAGGAAGATGGGAAAGCCTAGAATGTGTGTGGTTTTTTTTGTTTTTTTTTAGAGAGAGGGAAAGACAGAAATATCGATGTAAGAGAAACACATTGATTGGTTGCCTCCTCCATGCCCCTGACCATGGCCTGGGCTGGGGAGGAGCCAGTAACTGAGGTATGTGCCCTTGACTGGAATCAAACCTGGGACCCTTTGGTCTATAGGCTGATGCTCTATCCACCGAGCCAAACCGGCAAACGGCTAGGGCTATGTTTATTTCTTTTTGAAAAATTTTTAAGAGTTTATTTGAGCCAAACTGATGACATATACCAGGGAGCAAGACCTCAAATGCTCTTAGAATATGTTTAAAAAATAGCAATTACTTCAATCCAGGCAAAATAAAGTTTATGTGTATATTAGTTTTCTAGGGCGCTTGTAATAAATTTCCAGGAACTTGGTGGCTTAAAACAACAGAAATTTATTCTCACAGTTTTGGAGGCTGAAAGTCTGAAGTCAAGGTGTTGCCAGGACATGCTCTCTCTGAAGGCTCTGGGGAAGAATCCTTCCTTGCCTCTTCCAGCTTCTGGTAGCTCTCAGCACTACTTTCGTAGCTGCATAACTCATCTCTGCGTTCCGCTTCCCAGGGCCTTCTCTGTGTCTGTCTGTCCTGCCTGTCCTTATAAGGATACTGCCATTGGAGTTAGGGCCCACCCTAATCCAGTATGATCTCATCTCAATATTTATTTGTCCGAACAGACCCTATTTCCAAATAAGTTGACATTCTGAGATTCAGGGTGGACATAACTTTTGGGGGGATGCTATTCAACCCACTACACTGTGACAATGGGGAAAAAAGAGGTAGTTGGAAGGGCTTTAATATTGGAGGCAACTTGGTCCACATTGTATCCCATGTGTACCAGTGTCATGGCAACTACTGTGAGAGGAAGGAATTGTTTTTAAATTACCAATACAAGCCTTCAACCAACAGTAATGGTTGAGAGTGTCTACTTTGTCCAATAGCATCTGTTGTCAAACTTTTGGTTTTTGCCAGTTGGGGGGGAAAATGGCACCTCATTGTGGTTTTTATTGCATGTTTCATATGATTGAGGTTTGGCATCATTTAATCTGTTTAAGGACCATGTGCATTTTTGTTTCAATGAACTGCTTGCTTGTACTTCTTGCATGTTTGTACAGTGTTGCTTTTTTTCTTCTCATATACTAGAAACATTTTATATATTGGGAGTGTTAACTGCATAGAAGTTGCAAATATTTTTCTCATTTGTCTATACTTGTTTATGGTTGTTCATATCTATGTACATTTTATTTTTATTTATTTATTTATTTTATTATATTTTATTGATTTTTTACAGAGAGGAAGGGAGAGAGACACAGAGTCAGAAACATTGATGAGAGAGAAACATCGATCAGCTGCCTCCTGCACATCTCCCACTGGGGATGTGCCCGCAACCCAGGTACATGCCCTTGACCGGAACCAAACCTGGGACCCTTCAGTCCACAGACCGACGCTCCATCCACTGAGCCAAACCGGTTTCGGCTCTATGTACATTTTAATGTGTTCAGATTTACCAGCCTTTCCCCCTGATTGCTTCAGTATTTTGAGTCATAATTAGAAAAGTTTTCATATTAGATTACAAAGGACTTCATGGATGTTTTCTTCCTATACCTCTATGATTTTATTTTTTTATATTTAAATCTCGGAATTATTTGGAATTTTCCTGATATATGGTATGAGGGATGGATTGAATTTTATTTTTTTCAGTATGGCTATACAGCTGTCCCAGTACCACTTTTGCCCATTTATTTTAGATTAATCTTTATTCTGCACTAAATGTCCATATACTATAAAGTTTATTTCTTGATTTTTCATTTTGTTCCACTGATCAGTCTGCTTTTCTTTTATGCATTAGCACCATGCTTTTTTTTTTTTCTTTACTCACCTGAGGATATGTTTATTGATTTTTTTTTTTAAGATAGGAAGGGAGAAAGGGGCACGCACGCGCACACAGACACACACTCACACACACACATCAATGTGAGAGAGAAACATTGGTTGGTTGCCTCTCAAACATATGCCAACCAGAGACCAAACTCAACCTAGGTGTGTGCTCTGACAGGGAATCAAACCCTGGACCTTCCAGTGTACAGGACAATATGCCAATCAACTGAGTTACACCAGCCAGGGCAGTATTGTGCTATCTTAATTATAGTCTTATGTTTCAGTGTCTAACATTCCCCTCCACTTTTATTTTTGTTTTTCCAAATTAACTTTATAATCAGTTTGTCTAAGATATCAACTTGTCTATTTTCCAAACAGATGGTATTTTATTGGGATTATGTTAAAAGTATACATGCAAAGAAATTTACATTTAAACTCATTTGTTCACTTATTGTGGTAAAACACATTAACAAAATTTATCATTTTAACTATTGTTAGGTATACAGTTCAGAAGTCATTGATGTTGAATCTTTCTAATATGATAAGTTGAATACCTTTCCCATGTATTTCTATCCACTGGTATTATTTTTATTTTTGGTAATTTGTTGTTTTGAGCTTGGGTTCTTAGCTAGATAAAGTTAGCCCCCCATTTGAAGAATTTATATTATGTATGTGCAGGTGCTTGTTAATAGAGAGTTTTATTTGATAATATGCTGACTGAATTGATTGTTATAGTATTCATAATGATCTTTGAGTGTTGTTAAATCTTTTATTGGGGAACTGAGGTAGAGGCCAGTTAATCCTAAAGCACATTTCCCATCTGGAGAGGCAGTGCGCTGGAATGGCCAATGGCCTGGACTTGAGTCACATGGCCTGGGTTTCAATCCCAGCACTGCAACTTGGTAGCTATGTGACATTGAACAAGGGCCTCATTTTTCCCATCTCAAATGATCTCATGTTAATAATTGTGCATGTGTGTTATAGGGCTGTTTATAGATTTCATGAATAAAATATGTAGAGTGCTTCAGACAGAACCTGGAATGTTATAACACTTCTGTGTTTTGTTTTAATGATGATATAGTAAGAAGAAATGTGGGAAATTAATTGGATAGGTTGATTGTTTTATAAAATTTAAAAGTATTAATCCTCTCCCTTTTTTTTTCCTGTTTAGGTGTGAAATGTTTCTCTTATTCTACAAGTGTGATCAGCCTTACATTTCTACCATACATTTTTGCCCAAAATAATGTTGTATTTGGAAGTCTGCCTTTGCAAATCTTATTTTATGGCATCATAGGAAGCTTTACAGTGATCACTCCAGTCCTGCTTCACTTAGTTACAAAAGGCTATGTCATTCGGTTGTACCATGAGGCCACGACAGATACTTACAAAGCCATTACTTACAATGTTTTGCTTTCAGAAACCAGTACTGTGTTTCAACAGAATGACGTGAAGATTCCAAACAGCGCACATCTGTTTACCACATTTTATGCTAAAACAAAATCACTGTTAGTTAATCCAGGTCTCTTTCCAAACCCTAAAGACTACGACCATCTAATGGGTTATGACAAACCATTCACTTTTGATATGGAAGAAACCAGTGAAAAGAAACAGCTTGAAGATGAGAAATGAGTCTGTTGTTTTTATGTTTGTGCTTAAATGTGATTTATTTTCCCGTGTATAATAATAAAATTGCCTTTACTTTTGTTTTCTATTAGTGACTGTTAAAAAATTGAAACTGTAACAAACAACTTTTGATTTTCAGATAATTATATTCCTTTATAATAAGCTATGCTTGAAAAACAAAACGCAATATTCCATCATTTGTGGTTTTAAAAAGGTGTGAAAATACATGTACATGCTGGCATATGCATGGATAATGAATAAGTGTGGTTGTCTTTCAGCTGGGAATTGGATAGCAGCTCACATTAAAAACTATTTTAAAAAATTCACATATTCTGGAAAGCAGTGTTAATCTGCTTCCTTTGGTCACAGCTTGTTACCTCGGTTCTCTGACAGGGCTGCCTGTAATAAGGCTCTCCATGTGGTAA